GATGCTGCCAGACCTGCTGAGCTTTTCCAGCAACTTCTGTTTTTGTTTTGATAAAAAAAAATTGCGCTGTTTCTCATGCTGTGAGGTGACCGGATTATCTGGTGAACTCCCCTTTCAGACAGGACTATGGGATATTTTCCATTTGTTCCAATTGAAGATAAAGAAATAACGGCAACACAGAGAGAAAATCCCACAGAGAACAAAACGTTAGCTACAAAACACCAAAATATGTTTGGGGAACCCAATCTCTTCAAGGCTCACAACATTCTGTGGCAGGTTTACACATGGATTATTTTGGCTGAAAGCAGCTAATACAAGAGGATCTCTTCAAAAAGTGACTTATTTCACAGGATAGTAGGAACTGCAGATGCTGGAGAACCTGAGATAACAAGGTGTAGAGCTGGATGAACACAGCAGGCCAAGCAGCATCAGAGGAGCAGGAAGGCTGACGTTTCGGGTCTGGACCCTTGTTCAGAAACGGGGAGGAGGAAGGGAGCTGGGAAATAAATAGAGAGAGGAGGGGTGGGAATGGGTAAGGTAGATGGGATGGTGATAGGTAAGTGCAGGTGGGCAGTGGTGGAGATTGGTCAGTGGAATGGGTGGGGCAGTAGGTGGGAGAGAAGATGGACAGGTTGTGTCAGGTCAAGGAGGCGGGGATGAGAGCGAGGGTTGGACATGGGATGAGGCCAAGGGTGGGGAGATTTTAAAACTGGTGAATTCTATGTTAAGGCCATTGGGCTGTAGGGTCCCGAGGCAGAATATGAGGAGTTGCTCCTCCAGTTTTCCGGTGGTGTCATTGTGAAGCTGGAGCAGGCCCAGGTTTGCCCAGTCTAAACATAAATTAAAGTTACTTAAAATTACTTTAGCACTCTCACTGTGAGCGTCTCTAATTTCTTGCTTCAGTCGTCCCCTAATTTACCACTGTTGGGTATATAAGGTTATAGAGAAATGTCATTAATGAAGATTGAAATACCATCAGATGCTCAGTTGTCACCATGCAGGTACACCTGTATATTTGCAATCCCCACAATGCCGCAAAATGAAGTCCACTGATGGGGAGAAAGCCGTGTCCACACCTCCGGAAGTTACGTTTGTTCTAAAACAGTGATAAAAGCTCGTGTCCACAAAGCACAAGTGAACCACCGACAGAGGAAGCCCTACACAAAATGTCACTTTTCTGGGAGAAGTCACAGAGTCTGAGAATCAATATCGAAGGGTCGACACTTACATCAACGGACATCGCGCTAACTTTCGATTAGACACAGGAGCAGGAGTCAGCGCTCTGTCTGATGGACTTCACAAACTGCAAAATATTAGCCTGCATCTACCAAACTGCAAGACGTAGAAGGAATCAGCCACCAGACCAAAGACCAGTTCTGACCTCATAACACAAAGGCAATGAAACCTCAGAAGCATTGAATGTTGTCCACAAACAATCATGTTGATGGACAATATATGAGGCTTTTCAAAGGCATGGCAAATAGCTCTGAAGAGGAAAGACAGCTTTAAAAAGTGTAAATATACTCTGATCCAGTTGTGCACCTCAGTCTTAAATTTCAAAGCACATGTCTTATCCTACCTGGCTATGATGTAAATATTCTTCTAAAGGTACATTTTACTTCACCTGGCAGTCAGTGTGTTGTCTCGCTACCAATATTGTGGCTCATCGGGACAGAACACAGAGTAGTTTCATAGAATATCCACTGGGAAAAGATGTTGAGAGGAGCAATCAGAAAGTAATGGCATGAATGACAGGATTTGGAACAGAACAAAGGGACATTTAGTTCCCCATGTCAATCCTCCCCATAGTCGAGACTGTTTGACCACATTACATTGAGCTGAGTTGATTGATTTTTGGCCTTTTCTTCCAGTCTAGTTTGGAGTAAACGTGTTGATGAGCAGTTCCGTTCTGCCGCATTATTTTTTTGCCGACCCAGTGTTTGCAAGGAGTAGTTTCTGTTCATTATTGCTGGAATCCCTGAACAAGATTTATTGACTGTCGTGTAGTAGGGAAATGCTTCATGTAGTGCAACCTGGGCTGATATATAACTGGGTCACATTGAGAATTATAATAAAGATACAGAGAATTACAAAACCACAGCAGAAAGGGACACATATGTACTTTCCAGCATCAAAGCCCTATCTCTAGTGCTCTCTTATATTTATTCATTCATAGGATGTGAATGAACGTCACTGGCTGGGTCAGCGTTTATTGCCTGTATATAAATTGCCCTTGAGCTAAAAGCATCTTGTCAGCTACTTCAGAAGGCAGCTAAGAGTCAACCACATTCATGTCGGTCTGGAGTCACATTTAGAACATAGAACATAGAACATAGAAGATTACAGCGCAGTACAGGCCCTTCGGCCCTCGATGTTACGCCGACCTGTGAAACCAATCTGAAGCCCATCTAACCTAAACTATTCCATTATCATCCATATGTTTATCCAATGACCATTTAAATGCCCTTAAAGTTGGCGAGTCTACTATTATAGAACTTAGGACTGATTTCTTAACCTTACAGACATTAATGAACCAGATGGTTCGTCAATGTTTTTACATCAATTGCTACATGGTCACCGTTGCACTAATTTTTAATTCCAGATTTTGCTGACCTCAAATTTCACAGTCTGACATGGTGGGATTTTTTTTCCCCAGGACATTGAATTGAATTAACTTCATTGTCACGTGTACTCAAAGGAGTACAGTCAGAAGTTTACAATTCGCCACTTACGGTGTCATCTTACATACAAGCTACCTTGGTACAGATTCTTCAGTACAAATTCTTAGGGGGAAAAAAATTAGAAAAATAAAGAAATTAAAAAAAAGTTCAGAACAACAGTCCTTCAAACCCAGTCCACCACTAACATTTAGCCTCCTTGGGTTCTGGATTATTATTCCATTACCTCCATACCACTGCCTCCCCTTCACTCGTTTGATGGGATTCTTTCCTAATAGATCAATCTATGTGAGGAAAGTTTAATACCGTGATGATAAACTTTTCACAAACTCTCTATCGGATGCCAACTTCCGTTTTGTCTCCAGTACTTTCTTCTTTTCACTGTCAACATACCTTTTGCAATTTTTGGCACTTTTGTCTTTTGGATAACCAATTTATGACAATTCTATGACAACTGACGCTAAGGCCGACTTGAATGGTCCTTGCATGAGGCTGCCTTAAAATGACACAAATTCAGTTTGGATCCTGGGACATCCATCAGGCTATAAGCTCAGTCACTTACCGAGACAAATTAATGCACCAGCAAGTAAACAATATCATGGAAATACTTTGTAAACAAACACAGAAACTCTGCTTCGTAGAGCCAACTTCAGTGCCCTAGGGTGTCCCAACGTCTTCCCTGAAATTCAGTGCTTCCTGATGTGTCACCACTGTTGTAATGCCCCGGGAGTGAATTTGCTCACTGCAAACTCCAACAAACAGCAATGAGATAAATGACCAGATTTGTCATCTGTTTTATTAATTCTAACTGAGAAATCAATACTGGACTGAACACCACTGGAGAGATCCCCATCACTCCTCTTTGAAATAATGTAAGGTGTTCCTTTTGATGTCTGCCCTCTTGACTGTTTCAAGCTCTCACCTAAATGGTGGGTACCTACGATAGTATTGCCTGAGGTATCAGCTCTGATTATGTGGTATAACGTCTGGAATGCAACCATAGACCCAATACCTTTCTAACTCTGGTGTACGATTGTTACCCATATCCATGACTAACTGGTGGCAGCTACTGAATAAGTTTCCCTTCCTTTGTGCTTTTATCGGCTTTCAGTGTCGCTGGCAAAATTTGTTGTCCATCCCTAATTTTTCTTGAATTGAGTGATTTGCTAAGGCCATTTCTACCATATCGCCCTGGGCCTGGAGTCACAAGTAGATCAGACCAGGTAAGGACTGCAGGATTCCTTCCCTAAAACACATAAGTGAAGTCGATGGGTTTTGCCAGCAACCGATAATAAATACTTACACAGTTACTATTGCTACCTGTCAATTCCCAGATTTATAAATTGATTGGAAGTTACATTAACTGCTGTGGTGGGATTTGAACCAAGGTTTCCAGTTAATTCCTGGGTTACCAGTCCTGTGGCCATTGGCATTGTACCACCATTTCTACAGTTATCAGGCATGACTGTCCATTGACTTGATAGAGGAGTACAAAATGATCAGAGGTATAGATAGAGCGGACAGCCAGAGACTTTTTCCTAGGGTGGAGGTAGCTATTATTAGGGGGCATAGTTTTAAAGTGAGTGGAGGTAGATATAGGGGGGACGTCAGAGGTAGGTTCTTTACTCAGAGAGTGGTCGGGACGTGGAATGCATTACCAGAGAGGGTAGTGGAGTCGGCCTCATTAGGGGCCTTTAAGCGGCTATTAGTCAGGCATATGGATGATAGTATAAGGTAGGGGTGGAGGCCTTAGGATTAGGGTAAAAGTTTGGCATAACATCGTGGGCCGAAGGGCCTGAACTGTGCAGTACTGTTCTATGTTCTATGGGACTCTCCAGCTCTTATTGCCTGCTACAGGTATATTGCAAGGAGTTGTAGCTTGATCATTAACGTGTTTGGCTCAGATACAGGGACACTATCCACAGTGCCACCAAAACTCCCCACTTCTACTATAGATGTGTAAAACCTGAGTAAGTAGAAAGAACTGCAAGTGACTAGGAAATGGGGAAGCAAATATAATGGCATGTGCCAGGCCATTGCCCTTCCAATGTAATCATTGATCCGTACAGCACAGAAAGAGACCATTAGGCCCATTGTGTCTATTTTAGCTCTTTGAAATAGTTATCTAGTTTATCCTATAACCCTGCACATCTTTCAATTTCAAGTATTTATCCAATTTCTGATGGATCTGCATCCATCATCTTCTCAGATGTTGCATTCGAAGTCACCAGAGCACAAACAAAATTCCTTCTGTTTTCTTCCATCGCCAGTTATTTCTCTCAACACAACACTCAGTGAAATTGCACATCAGGACTCACTTACCGTTCTGAAATTCCCCTTATACTGGAACTCGCACTGCATCATGTCGAAGAAAATTGGGATTGTAGACTTGCGGAGTTCTACCTCGGGGACAAGTGTCATCTCCAGGATTGGGCCCACCATTCCTGGAATAAAGCGGATCTTGTGCTGGCCTGCAGAGAGAAGGTCAAAGGTCAGAGGTCGGGGATGATCCTCCTGTGGTTGCATTTGACACTTTCCAGTAGCATAGAGTTTAATACCATAATGTTTTAAAAGGAACGTTGTCAGAACTGAGAGGGTGCAACTATCAATAATGACCGAAAGTGGCTTTTGTTACACACAGAAAATAGGAGACCAAGCCGAAAAGATTCTTGAAAGCTCTAAAGTAATTGCAGTATGGTAAATTTTCTGAAGATTTTTCTATTCTAGAGGAATCCAAAATGAGGAGTCATTCATGCAAATTAATCCAATCCAGGAGAAACTTCCTTACTGACAATGATGAGACTGTGAACAACCTCACCACATGAAGTGGTTGGAGAGACCAGCATTAAATTAATGGGAAGCCACATAAATCCATGATGGAGAAAGGGATAGAGGGTCATGCTCATCAGGTTAGATGAAGCAAGTACAGAGGGGGTCATGTGAAGTATCAACATTGGGATGGACTGAATGATCCAAGGGAATAGGTATGTAATGTTACTCATAGAGTTGTAGAGTCATACAGCATGGAAACAGACTGAACCAGTCCATGCCAAACATAATCCCAAATTATTGGCATACCACTGTACTTTGCTTGCCAACTCGGAAAATTAAGATGCATTATGACACCCGTAGATGTGACAAGGACTGGAATAAGCACTAAACCAGACTGAAAGGAAGACCTTTAAAGTACATGGAGAGAGATTTGCCGTAAAGATCTAAGAACTATTATCAAATAAAAAGAAATAGCTCTTTTGTATTCATACAGCGTCGTACATGGTTGTTGGAATGACTGCACAGTCTATTGCTTTTGAAATCTACTTGTTCATGTTACTTGATCAAATAAGTGAAAGGTAGTGAGTTCTCTTTCTGGACTGAAATAGAAACAGTTTGTTTCTGATTCTTCAAATTTACCAGTTAATCGCTCGGATTCTGCTCAGAGACAAAGGGGAGAATATAATTCCGGGATCTGACATCCCAGGTTGCTGGGTCTTTTAACCTCAAAGCACCAAATTTTACACTCAGAGGATCTCGCTACATGGCGCAGCAGCTAATGAGTTACTGGAGAGTTGCACTCACTCATGTTTTATCAGGAACCACAGCTGAGCTCCCACTGAAAATAAGTGAGGTGAATGTGCCAAGTGGCAGCGACTAAGGGATCGATGTTAACCAGAACTTTGAAAGCTCGCTTTCAAAACTGTAAATGAACAGGGTGTCTCGGTTTGACATTCTGAATTGGAAGGAAACCTCTGACAATGCAACACACCATGGCTGTGTCAGTCTGCAGTGTGGCCCTGAAAGCAACCATTCCACAAGCGTTTAATGTACTGGCAAGCATCCTCCATTGCGTCAATCTACTACTCACATACACAAGTGTGTTGTTACTGGCTGTTCCGATGAAACCTGAAGCATTGGGCCAAGTCTTTCAAACAGCAATGGGAGTGTGTAATACAGATCCATCTCGCTCCAAGGGAACATAGGACTTAGGAGCAGGATGTGGCCATTTGGGCCTTTTTTCAATCATTCATATGGAACACATGCATTCCCCATTCATTTTCTGAGCATTTCATCTTTTAAGCTCGGTATTGGATGCTAGTAATTCTTTGCATTGTGCAATGACGATCTCCTAAAAAGCCAAAACAATATTTTGTTTTGCCAATGTGAAGACACCTTTAGAATAGTGTTGTGTGAGGTACTGTAATAATTATCGGGCTCAGTTGTGTACTTCTCAAGAATTCACCAGTGTAAGTTAAAATCACCATAATCCTGCCAGACCATCGAGCTACGCTTCTCATTAGAGAAAGACAGCTGGTGGCTCAGGTGAGGGGAGAGGTTGAAAAGGAAAGTCCTTCATGGTAACATCAGCCGGAGCAGAAATTGAACCCATGCCGTTGGCATCACTCACCAGCTATCCAGCCAATGAGCTAACTGAGTTCACCAGTCTAGGGTGGGTATCACTGTGCTGTACGTGCTAATCAGTTATTTATCAGAATCCTGATATGCTGATCACAGAATCCTTACAGTGTGGAAACAGGGCATTTGGCCCAACAAGTCCACACCCTCTGAAGAGCAGCCCACTCAGACACAACCCCCGACCCTATATTTCCCATGGCTAACGCACCTAACCTACACATCCCTCGACACTATGGTGCAATTTAGCATGGTCAACCCACTTACCTTGGTTATCTTTGGACTGTGGGAGGAAACTGGAGCACCCGGAGGAAACCCACGCACACATGGGGAGAATGTGCAAACTCCACACAGACAGTCATTCTTAACAACTTATGTTAAGTTTTAATAGAACTAAGTTATTCCATTTTTTCTTTCTTTTGTTTGTGTTGAAGTCCCCCGTGATTATTGCAGTCATGTCTTTCTTGTATGCCTTTTCTATCGACTGATTTATTTTCTTCCCCACTTCCTGACTACTGTTCGGAGGCCGGTTCACCACTCCCATCAGGGTCTTAACTCACTCACAGTTAGTAAGAACTGCCGATGATGGAGTCAGAGATAACACAGTGTGGAGCTGGAGGAACACAGCAGGCCAGGCAGCATCAGAGGAGCAGGAAAGTTGACGTTTCAGGTCGGGACCCTTCTTCAGAAAAAATTTTCATAACCTCTCCTGAACACCCCCCCCACCTTTCATTGCTTCCCTAACTTTATTCCTTGCAACCGAACATGCACCCCCACCCCGCCAAGAGATTACCACCTTTTTGGTTCTGCTTTTTAATTTAGCCCCTCGCTGCTCGTATCCTTCAGAAGAACCTGCTTCCTTCCTGATTCATCACCCAGAAATAGAGCCACCTCTTCACTTCTGCACCTTCATTGCAAATCCAGGCACATGTGTTTGAACCTAAAATGTAAATCTCAAGACATCTCAGTAGAAATAGTGGCCAGGGAGCACCTCAGTGTTTCCCATTGAAGAGTCAGCAAGAGATGTAGCAAAGTGTAAACGATCTAGAATCCCTACAGTAAGGAAATAGGCCCTTTGGCCCAACAAGTCTGCACCAATCCTCAGAACATCTCATCCAGACCCATCCCCCTATAACTTGCCTAATCTACATATCCCTGAATACTGTGGGCAATTTAGCATGGCCAATCCACCTAGCCTGCACATCTTTGGAATGTGGGAGGAAACCAGACCACCTGGAGGAAATCCATGCAGAGATAGGGAGAACATGCAAACTCCACACAGACAGTCACCCGAGGGTGGAATTGAACCCAGGTCCCTGGCGCTGTGAGGCAGCAGTGCTAACCATTGTGCCACAATCCCTGTACTCTTGCCTAAGCTTTGCCTGCCCAATACTGATTAGTTCCACAGTTTTGTGCCCATGAAGGGCATTTCTTTGATATTACCCCTTCCTCCTCAACACCCACTGCCTATCTTGGGAATAGATCCGTGCAGGAATGGAAGTTGTGCTTCATCAGTAACGCCACACAGTACTGGCACAGACATCTTGGAACTGGAGAAATCTTGCAAACACTTTTTTACGTTTTATATTATTCTAAGATCATCATGAATTATGGGCTTTGGCACCCAGGAGCAGCTTGAAAGCCTGGCAATTACTGTATTTTCCAACAGGTCAACGGAAAGGGATATGATTCATTTAGGGAGAACACTGGATTGGAATATAGGACATAGAACATCAAGACAATATTTTATCTGGTTGCAGATTCAACCCCACTTTCTTGTCTGCACGCCCTTTCATAATCCTTAACCCTCATGAGACTTAGGGGTTCAGAGAGACTCTTCTGTATTTCTCTTCCTTTTGTTCTGAGATACTATTACACACCTATGGAGGTTCCTCTTCACTACCAAACCACCCATTTTGAAATGACATGGGCATAATTGATGTCTTTGCAGAAATGACAGCACAGCACAGTTCTCCTTTTTGTGGATATTTTCTAATCAGTCTGGTCACAGATGTTATCGCCCATCTCTGAAGCAGGTGGCAATTGAACCCAGGCCTCCTGGCTCAGAAGTAGGGATACTACCACTGCGCCCAGCTCCAGTTGCCGATCCAGTCTCTGGCACGATATTGACTTCAGGTATTTTTTGTTCGGGATGATTAGTTCAGGGAATGGGGTAGGTTTTGTTGATGTCTGAACTTTTACCTCCCCTCTAACAACAGGTCGCTCATTGAGCTTTATCAGTGGTCTGTGAAAGCCCACTCAGCAGACTGATCAGGAAACCCCATTCAGGGTAAAGTGTGAAGGAGGTAACTGCAAGTGGGGTAGGGGTAAGTGCTGAGAAAGATACCCAGGTGGGGACTGGACGGTGTCAGAGCTTGGTTTGAGTGCTATGCCACTCCTTGCCTGGCAGCATGAGGCCACTCTTGGACTGCCAACCTGGCCCCTGGTGATCTGAGGGACTCTCAGTTCAACTGAAAAGTTCGAGTCAGCCTACAATCATAATCCAGAGCCAGGCCCTTCAGCCCAAACTGGTCCATGCCGACCAAAATGTCCATCCACACTAAGCCCATTTCCTTGCACTCGGTACATATCCTTCTAAACCTTTCCTATCCATGTATTTGTCCAATAGCCTTTTAAATGTTGTTAATCTACCCGCCTCAACCACTTCTGCTGGCAGCTCATTCCATATGCATACACACCTCTGTGTAAAAAGTTGCCCCTCAGGTTCCCATGTATTCTTTCCCCTCTTACCTTAAACTGATGCCCCCTAGTCCTCAATTTTCCAACCCTGGGAAACAGACTGAGTGCATTCACCCTATCTATGCCTCTCATGATCTTATACACTCCCCCCATCAGTCTCCTTTGTTCTAAAGAAAAAAAATCCTAGCTTGTCCAACCTCTCCCTATAGCTCAGTTCCTTGAGTCCTGGCATCATCCATGTAAATTTCTTCTGCACTCTTTCCAGTTTAATAACATCCTTTCTATAGCAAGGCGGCCAAAACTGAACACAATACTCCAAGTAAGGCCTCACCAACGTCCTGTACAACTGCATGATAGCTTCCCA